GAGCTGATCCGAAGCCCTCAATGTACAGAAGGGGAAACTGAGGACAGGAAAGGGGCAGGGACTTACTCAAGAGAGACCCTGGGACAATCCAGGTCTCTGCTACAAGCCTGACGCTTTCTCCAGTACAGCCTCAGCCCCTCCTGCCCGGGGCTGTCTGTCTCCAGCTATTAGAGCAGAAGACACCTGTTGTGGGAGAAGCAGGAGGCAGAGATGCTGCTTCAAATGCGGGCCTGGCTGAGGGGACGGGGTGTGTTGGTCACAGGAAAGGTCCTCCCCTTGTCCCCACCCATGCAGTGGCCCCTGAAGCCGCAAGCTGCAGACACAACAGGTGAGGGGCTGCAGGAGATGGGGTTCATTTCTTCCTTTTTTTTTTTTATGTTTTCATTGATTTTCTTTTTTTTCAAGAGAGAAAGGGAGAAAGAGATAGAAGCATCAGTGTGAGAGAGACACATCGATCGGCTGCCTCCTGCACACCCTCTACTAGGAATCAAGTCCACAACCCGGGCATGTGCCCTGACCAGGAATCGAACTGGGACCTCTCAGTCCATGGGACGACACTCAATCCACTGAGCCACACCCAGTGGGCTGGGGGTCATTTTAATCACCACCCACACTAGACCCTGAGATTGATGTTGACACAGGAGGAGCAAGGTTTCCAGGACAGGCAGATATGAGGGTCCCTGCTAGGTACTCCCCTCCTCCCTACCTCCTACCAGGCCACTCCCCACCTGGTCTAGTGTATATCAGCCTCCAGAATCATCTAGATCAGAGGGGCTACAGACTGGCCACCAAAGCTGCTGCAGAAATGCTTCTTTTGGCCCACACAATGCTTTAAAATAAATTAAATTATTTAGAACACTTTAAAAATTGGAGTTTAGCCCTGGCCGGTTTGGCTCAACGGTTAGAGCGTCGGCCTGTGGACCAGAGAGTCCTGGGTTCGGTTCCCGCTAAGGGCACGTACCTCAGTTGCAGTTTGTCCCCGGCCCTGGTTGGGTCATGCCGCTGGCAACCACTTGATGTGTCCCTTTCACATCGATGTTTCTCTCTCTCTCTCTCTCTCTCTCTCTCTCTCTCCCCCCCTCCCTCCCTCCCTCCCTCCCACTCTATCTGAACAAAAAATGGAAAAATGTGCTCGGGTGAGGACAAAAATAATAATAATAAAAATAAAAGTTGGAGTTTACATGTGAAATATCTGTATTTGGAGCTTCTCTAAGAAAAAATAGAAGATTTGGAAACTGTGGAACTTCCCCACCTCCTATACTCACATTCATCATTCATTCATTCACCGTTTATTGAGCACCTACTATATGCCTGGCACTGTTCTAACCAATTGGGACCACATCATCGAGCAAAATAATAAAGCTCTGTCCTATTGGAGCTTATGTTCTCTCAAGAGGAACAGACAGCAAGCAATAAATGTAACAGACATGTAAATTATACAATTTTTTCAGTGATAAGTACTATAAAACCCAATGGGGGAGGCGAGGATCTCAGAGGAAGGGGAATTGTTATTTTTATTATGAATTAATTTAATCAGATCTTGAAGGCATTGAACTTTCTAGAGCAGTGCTATCCAATAAAAATGCAATTTAGCTCAGTGGATTGAGCGTCGTCCCATGGACTGAGAGGTCCTGGTTCAATTCCTGGTCAGGACACACACCCAGGTTTTGGGCTCAACCCCAAGTGGGGGAAGTGCAAGAGGCAGTAGATCGATGTATCTCTCTCACAATAATGTTTCTATCTCCCTCTCCCTCTCTTTCTCTAAAGAATAAAATCAATGAAAACATATTTAAATATACATAATGTAAACCACATGTATAATTCTAAGCAGCCACAGTAAAAAGAGTGACCAAAAAAAAAAAAAAACCAAACCGGAAATTAACAATAATGTTTTATTTAACCAAATAATCTCCAAATATTCTTTTTAACATGTAGTCAACATAAAAATTATTTTTATATGTCTTGTGAAAATACAGACAGCCCGGGTAGGGGTCGAACTGTCACCCTGCAGGGGGAAAGGGACAAAGGACGGACCACAGCTCAGAAGCCAGCCTCTCCTCTTACAGAGATTCTGAGCTCCAGAGAAGAGCAGCTGCTGCCCCCAGCTCCCAGCAGGCCGCTGGTTTAGGTGTGCCCCAAGCAGCCCACCTGGCTTTCAGGGTGCTGCCCTGCGAGCTGGTTTCTGAATACGAGCTCCTGACAGTGGAGAAGTCCCCTGTGACTGGCCTGTGACGTTCCATGGAGCTGGTTACTGAGTCTCCCACGGCAGACACACTGTTCATCCTACCTGACTCAGATGAGGCTCAAACCCAGTCGGCCCTGCCCAGTGGAGTCCTCCTCTGCCAAGCAGGGATAATGGGTGCCTCACCTATCTCCTGGGGCAATTAGCTCCAGACCTTCTCAGATCCTGGCTCAGACCCTTCCCATCAATGAAACTCTCCATAGCGACCCTCTCCCACCTCCTATCCTATCCTACCCCCAGGGCCCGCCCACTCTTCCCCAAGGCCACTCAAAGACCAGGTCCTCAGAAAAGCCTTCATCAGCTTACCTTGCAAACTAGTAGCACCCCCACCCTTCTCTGTCCCCTTACCTTGCTTTATGTTTCTTCTTAGGATTTACCACCTCCTGCATAGCCTGCAGGTTTTTGTTTTTGTTTGTTTCTTTTTATCCTCACCCGAGGATATTTTTCCATTTTTTGCACAGCTAGAGTGGGAGGGAGAGAGTGGAAGGGAGAGAGAGAGAGAAACATCGACGTGAAGGGACACATCGAGTGGCTGCCACCCGCACGACCAACCAGGGCCGGGGACAAACTGCAACCGAAGTACGTGCCCTTAGCGGGAACCGAACCCGGGTCTCTCCGGACCGCAGGCCGACGCTCTAACCGCTGAGCCAAACTGGCCAGGGCTGTTTTTGTTTTTTTAATTTTTTTCTCTATTGATTTTTAGAGAGAGGAAGGGAAAGGGAGAGAGAGATAGAAACATCGATGAGAGAGAACATCAATTGGCTGCCTCCTGCATGCCCCCCACTGGGGATTTGGCCCACAACGTGCGCATGTGCCCTGACTGGGAATCGAACCAGCGACCTCCTGGTGCTTGGTCGATGCTCAACCACTGAGCCACACTGGCCGGGCCTACAGGTATTTTTTTACATAGCCCTTCTTAGCGTGTCAGCCCCGGCAGCAACCTGGTCTGTCCTGGACCCTGTTGCAACCCCAGCACCCCCACACACAATAAATAACAACTAATATTTATTGAGCACTTACTATGTGCCAGGCACAGTTCTGAGCATTTTACAGATGGTAACTCGTAATCCCTTCCTCTGAGAGAGGTACTACTTTAACCTCATTTTACAGAGGAGAGTGAGACACAGAGCTGTTCATTAACCTGCCTGAGGCCACACAGACAGGAAGTGGTAGAGCCAGGATCCCCCCTGGGCAGGTGAAATATAAGAGCCCAAAACTCCTGACTAGTGCTAGTCCATCCACACCTGTGCTCCATAACAATGAATGAATGAATGAAAACTACATAAAGAGGAATCAAAAAGTTGCTCCCTCCCCACCCCAGCTGGCCTTGCCTTAGAGAATCCACTTGCTCCTGGATGGTTAAAGAAAAGAGCCAGGGGGAACTGCGCTGGGCCCATTTTGACTGGTAACCCCAACAGACAAATGGCTGCCTTCAGTTGCTTCAAACTGACCCCTATGGTGATTTATACAAGCACACCTCGTTCCCTTGTGCTTCTGGAGGTGGCATTTTTTTATACGTTGAAATCAAGATCCTCCACCAGCAAAAAGATGACGACTTGCTTTACTGCCCTGGTCTGGAACCAAACCTGCAATACCTCTGAGGTACGCCCATGACAAGAAACGTACGTGTGGTCTTCTTTCTCTGCTCCTGACTCACAGCTCCTAAAACCTTTGCAATTTCCTAAGTGATAAGAGCACTGTGAGCATCTTTCGTTCCAATATTTGTTCTGTGCCCTCCTGCTCTGAAATAGCTCCAAGAGCCATAGAGGTGAAACCAGTGTCTGTTATTCGTATCCTACCCCTTTCCACCACACCTGAGTTGATGTTCATGGGCGACTTTTGGAAGCCCCTGAGGCTAGGGGCTGGTTGCCAAGGAAACTGATCATGTGATTCAAGAGTTGGAACTTTCAGCCCACCACCCCCTAGACTGGCTCAAGTTTGAATCCATCACCAACGGCCAATGCTGTAATCAACCGTGCCTATGTAATGAAGCCTCAAAACAACCCCCAAAAGGATGGGGTTCTGAGAGCTCCCAGGTTACTGAATACTGGGAGGGTGGTGCACCCAGAGAGAACATGGACCTTCCGGCCCCTTCCCACAAAGATGCCCATGCATCTTTTCCCTCTGGCTGTACCTGAGTCTGGGTTGTATCCTTTGTAGTAAACTGGTACCTAGTGAGTAAACTGTTCTCCTGAGTTCCGGGAGCCACTCCAGCATGTTAATCAACGGGTTGTGGGACCTGATTTATAGATGAGGGCGCAGCACAGGTGCAGCCTGGACATATGACTGGTCTCTGGAGTGGGGGCGGTCTTGTAGGACTGAGCCCACAGCCTGTGGGATCTGACCGTCTCTAGGTAGACAGCGTGGGAATTGAATTGCTTGGTGTTGGAGGGGGGCACATTTGGTGATTAGAAGTGTCGGAGGTAGAAGATTGAGAGACACAGGAAGAGTTTCCCTTTCTGGCCCCTCACACTGACCCGCCTGCTATTGCCCAGGTGTCTAGAGGGGAAACCGTGCCGGGGACTGTTGGGGCAGGAAAGGGAGTGGGGGCAGCAGAGCACAACAGGGGGTGGTTCGGGGTAGAAGCCACTGGAAGGGGTGTGGGGAGGAAATACACCCGGCCTTGTCTCCTCCCATCCCCCAGTGTCCTTCTGGTGCCTGCCTGAGGGCAAGCCCTGCTGGAAGCCCCAGGGCAGGGTCTGGGCATGTGGTCTGCAGAGAGCAGCCTCCCGGGGCGCAGCGCTGGGGGGACAGAGGACCTAGGCCAGTGTGTGCAGAACAACCGGCACATCGCTGGTCTTTGCTTTCACTCCGCCCTTCCCTTGCCAGCCCTCAATGTAGCCAACGCAAGGGCGCTTCAGGAGGGACCACGCCACCTGCTGGTAGAGGCCATAAGACCCTCTGTCCCCCCAGCACCTGGAGACCTCTTTCCAAAAGACAGATCTGGCAGCATCTGTCCACTGGTCCCAACTTCTCAGCGAGTCCCTGTCCCCGCTGCTCACCTCAGCAGGAAGCCCTTTGGATGGGGCTGCTCTCTGTCCCTCTCAGCGCCCTGCCAGGCCCTGGTCTGAGGGACTGTTGGGCTCCTCCCTCCGTTCTGCAGGCCTCTGCTCCATGTCATCTGTCCAGTCCCTCCCCTGACCTCCTGATCCAGAAGGCCCTCCAGGTCCGCTACATTTTCTTCATCACCATCCACTGCTCTCTCTTCCCACCCACTTGGAGGAGCTGCTGTATCCCAGTGCCCAGAGCAGTGCCTGATGTGAACCACACAGCATGGACCGGTCCCTTCGTCGAATACTGTGAGCTGGCAGGATGTATTCATGGGACTTAAAGCCACAAAGCTGAATGGGACCAGCCGGTGGAGAAGAGGCACAAGGACCCAGATGAGGAGGAACCGATGAAAGAGGCAGGAGCCCCTGGGGGCAGGAGAGCCAGGTCAGGCGTGAAACAAATGGAAGGTTTATTTATAAGCAGGAATACTGTTCAGTACACAGTGCAAACTCTCATTGTCTTGGGATCAACACAAGCCAGGGAACCGAGGCTATAGAAAGGGTCTCCGTTAAAAACTTTTTTTTTTCTTTATTATTTTAGAGAGAGAGGAAGAGGGAGACAGAACATCGATGAGACAGAACATTGACTGGCTGCCTCCTGCATGCCCCACACTGGGGATTTGGCCCACAACCTGGGCCAAAGGGTCTCCTTTTCAATCATAGTTTCCCAGCTCTGCTGGGGTGATGGTGAGGAGGCCTGAGGGCCTCCCGGAACTGTCCACCAGGGGGCAGACCTGCTCCATGGCCATGCAGGGTCCAGGCAGTAAGCACATCTTGATTCCAGGATGGAAGCCTCTCTTGTCTCCATGGTAATGGCTGGACTCTCCTACCCTCTAAAGTTCAGTCTCAAAGTTCAAGTCCAGTGGAATTTTTCAACAAAGGATCCAAGTACCATAGACCCAAATGGCTTCCCCAGGAGCCCCAGTCCCCTTCCTTCCAGAATCCGGTGAGGTCACAATTGTCCACCCTCTGCAGCCTGTAGACAAGTGTGTTTGGGGGGAGTGGGCTGACTCTTTCATAGGTAAGAACCCCTTGGCAAAACTTGGCTTTAGCTGCTTCGGGAGGGCCGTTTAGCCAGACATCAGCTACACAGACCCACGGCACAGGACAGACAGACAGACACAGACTGGCTCTCAGCATCTCACATCCACTAGGGATGGCAACAGGCACAGTACTAAAGTGGCCCCGAGGACCCCCTGGGGCCTGGGACTCCAGGAACAGTGCGGGCAGGTTGGGGGAAACAGGAGCACCCCTTGGGAGTCAAAAGAGGAAGGTCCAGGCTGAGGTAGGAGACATGGCTGCAGGAACCGGGGCATGTCCAGGTCCTGAGATTCCCTGATAGAAGGCGTGGCCTTGGAGCCCCACCCCACACGGTGAGGGAGGGAGGGAGGGAGGCTGGCACTCTGGGCAAACTGGAGTGAAGGTCAAAGGCAGAGAAGGCAAACTCTTGAGATTCTGGCTTTGTTGTGCTGTTGGCCTGTGTGTGTGTGTGTGTGTGTGTATGTGTGTGTGTGAGACACACATATTAAAATTAGATTTTGTGAGAGGTCTGCCATCTCTCCCAGGCAGGGCACTCATCCAGGCTGCCTGCCCGGGCCCCCTGAGTGTGCGATTGTCACACCAGGTACAGGAGGTGGAGCTAGCAGGAAAGGGTTTGGAGGTGGTGCTTCTCAAGGGTCGTTAGCTAACCTAGGGGACCCCTGCCCCTACACGGTTGCCACCCCACCCTGCACAGAACCACCTGACTGCTGACAGCCCCTTCCCCTCTGGGACCATCCTGCAGTCTCAGTATTCAGTACCCCTTCTCCATGGATGACTCACACAGTACCCCTCCTCCCCCACGGCCCCTCTGGATGCTGGGGCCCCGCAGGGAGCCAGAGCCATACAGCCCAAGGATGAAAACAAGGGCTTCCACAGGACTGGTGAGGGGGCAACCCAGAGGAGCAGGGCCCACCAGGCTGCCCAGCACGTCCAGCCAGCCTTCCGAGAAGGACGCACACCACACCCCTCCCTGTTGCCTCCCTCTGCCTGCAGGGAAAAGAAAGGCCCAGGCTGTGGAAGCCACTAAAGGAATTTGGCCTAGAAAGAGCCACAGGGCTGGGGGGTGGGGGCCGAGAAGGTCCAGAGGTCAGCCCAGCTCGGCCGTGACTTGGCCCACGCCAGGCTGGTTAACTGGGCTTCATCCCAGCGTCGGGCACACCAAGGTTCAGGGGCTTCTCCTCTGAGCTCTGCAGCAGAGTCTCTGGGGCCGCTGGCTGGGGCTGGAAAGAGCACTCCTCCTTGGAGAAGGGGAACTGCTCGTCCTTCGGGGAGTCTGAGGGGCTGGAGTCCGGGTTCCCCGCCGTGGAGCTGGCCTGGGAGGGGCACTGCGCGCCGTGGTCAGAGCTGCTGCAAACGTTCACGATACAGGTGACGTTGACTTGGGTCCCGTGGCCACCAGAGGAGGACTCTGCAGAAGAGAGAGGGCGGTCGGTCGGGGGTCTCGCAGTGGGGATGTCATCACAGCCCAAGAGGCAGGTTTTTGGTGGTTGTTTTTGAATCCTCACCCAAGGGTATTTTTCCACTCATTTTCAGACGGGGGATGGGGGGGAGAGAGAGAGAAAGAGAGAGAGAGAGAAAGAGAGAGACATCGACATGAGAGAGACACATCGACTGGTTGCCTCCCGCAGGGCCCCGAACAGGGCCAGGGACAAACTGCAACCGAGGTACGTGCCCTTGACTGGCATCGAACCTGCGACTCTCTGGTCCATGGGCTGATGCTCTAACCACTGAGAAAAACGGGCAGGGCAAGAGGCAGGTTTTGACATGTGGGGGGAAAGCACTTGGCCAGGAGCCAAGAGTCCTGGTTCTAGCCCAGCTCTGCTGTTAACCTTGGACAAGTCACAAACTCCATGCGCCGGTTTCCTCGTCTGTAAATCAGAATACCCAGCCCAACTGACCCACAGATGGGACGAGCAATGACATAAAGCGGGTGAAGGTGCTCCAAGGAAAAACACCTCCCACAAAACATCAAAACAGTGACGGGGGCAGGAAGTGCACATTACAGACAATGGGTCAAGATGAGTCACCTTCCAGTCCTGGCCTATCAGACGCCCTGGCCACACCAACTATGAAAAGCCAACAACACTGTCATTGGCTCCTTATGTCTAGGCCAACGGTTCTTAACCTGTGGGTCACGACCCCTTTGGGGGTCAAACAACCCCTTCACAGGGGTCGCCTAAGACCATCAGAAACACATTATTTCCCATGGTGATTCATAACAGTAGTAAAATTACAGTTATGAAGTAGCAATGAAAATAATTTTGTGGTTGGGGAACTGTATTAAAGGGTTGCAGCATTAGGAAGGTTGAGAGCCACTGGGCTAGGCCAAAGGGTCAACATCATACATCTGGGGTTCCAGAATGGGGAGAGGTGGTAGTTTGTCATCGTCTCTGAGGCCAGGATGTCTGGAGCTTTGCAGCCTGGCAATCCTGGGTTCGAATCCCTGCTCTGCCCCCATGAACTTGGCCAAGTCACTTAACCTACTGGCCTTTGGTTTTCTCAGCTGTAAAATGGGTATAATGACCCTGTCCAACTCCTTGCGAGCAATGACAACTGTCTTGTTCATTGCCCTTCCTGAAAACGTGGGACACTCAATGAACACTGGCCCCATAGCGCCAACCACCTATTCTGTACCTCAACCTGATCCCACCCCCATCTTCCACCCAACCTGCTCCTGCCCTTCCCATCTTCAGCTCACAGAGCCAGCGTCCACTCCGCTGCTCAGGCCCAAAGCTTCGAACCCATCATGCTCTCACACCCGTTTCCAATCCATCAGCAATTCCTGCCTGGTCCACCGTCAAAACACACCTTCCAGTTCACCGCCTCCTGCTGCCTACCGCCCAGCAAACCTCCACCTGCTCCGACCTGGATCAGTGTGAAGGGCCTCTACCGGTCTTCCAGCTTCCGGCCCAGCCCTCTGCGACCACTCTCCCCGGCAGCCACAGCCGGCCTCTTAACACCTGGGAGACCACGTCCTTGGCTGGTCCAAACACCGCAGTCCTCACCACGGCCCACGGCCCTGCAGAACCGGCGCCTGCCCTCTCCCATCCCATCTCCTGCTGCTCTGAGATCCCGGCTGGGCTCCCTCCAGCCGCCCTCACTTCCGGCAGCGTCTCGAGCCGTCCAAGCCCGGAGCTGTTGCATGTGCTGCTCTCTCCGTCTGGAAAGCTCTTCCCTATTTCCATGGTGCACTCCTCCTTTTCACTCAGGCCTCAGCTCAGAGGCCCCTTCCTCCGGGAAGCCTCCCTGACTTTCCACTTTAAAGGCATTCACCTCTTGCCCAGCAGGTGTTGCTCAGTGGTTGAGCGCTGACCCATGCACCAAGAGGTACCGGTTCGATTCCTGATCAGGGCACATGCCCAGGTTGTGGGCCTGATCCCCAGCAGGGGGGCATGCAGGAGGGGCCAATCAATGTTCTCTCTCATCAATGTTTCCAGCTCTCCCTCTCATTTCTCTCTCTCTCTCTCTTATATCAATAAAGAAAAAAAAATTTTTTTTTAAAAGACATTCACCTCCTGTCCCCTCCATCACTCCCTGTGTCCCTCCTTCTGCTGTGATCTCCAGGGCTCTGGTTCAACCCACTAGACAGTCAGTTTCTTGGGGTGCTCATTTGTGTTCCCCCACCAGGCCCTGGGCCCAGGAGGACGGGACCATTCCCTACCATGTCCATGTCCCTAGTGACTATAACAGACACATGTTGAATGAATAAAAACCAGCTCACAGATGTTTCATTCTTTGGTGGTCATGGTTTTTAAGTAAATTTGCTGCTGACATTTACAATTCAGGAATTTGCATTTTAAAAACTGGGATTTGTGGCTTCCCTTGGGAGCCAGGTGGGGGAGACCTGGCCACGGAGGGCCCGCATACCTGAATGCAGCTGGCAGGACGGGCTTCAGGGCACAGGTTCCCCCCACCTTCCCACCCACCTGGGCACGTGAGTTTCCCAACTAGACAGTGAGGGACCGGATGATGGACAGGCCAGGGGGTGAACTTAAGGGGCCGGGCACCCCTCAAAGTGACAGCTGCTGCCTTGGGGACCTGCCGAGAATGCAAATGCGAAAGGGCGTGGTCTCAGCGTGCGGGGAGGGCTGGCTGGCGACTTTGCAGTCCTCTGCCCCGCCCAGCTTCCCCGCTACGGCAGATCTGAGACGGCAGATCTGAGACGTCAGAGCCGGTGAGCTCCTCTCTCAGGACAACCCGAAATAGGCCAGGGGGAGGGGGGGAGGGCTGAAATCACAGGGTCAGAAGGAAATTTCCACCCTGAGTCTCCACGGCACCCAAATGTCACCCAAAGTCACCATGGCCTTTGCACACTGCGAATGAGACACTGCGGGGGCGAGCAGGGGACCACAGTGGGGCACAGCCCGGGGTTTACCCTTCCCACAGTGGTGAGAGGTGCTGGTGTGGGAGGGACGGGGGACAGCAGACGCCAGGCAGGCAGGAGGAGAAGGACAGAGAAGGGGCAGAGGGTAGAAAGGGTGGGTAGACATGGCCCGGGGTCCCACTGGGGACAAGGAGGAAGCCACACCAGGACGGCAGTGGAAGAGTTATCGCCAAGGATCAGAAAGAGGAATCCAAACGTTGGATGAAGACCAAGAGTTTACATTTGCAGCTCATTCATTCATTCATTCAACAAACGTTTAGGGCCACCTGCTGCGTTCCAGGCACTGACCCAATCCTCCCTCGGGGAGCTCCCAGGCTGGCGGGGGCACTAACAAGACAACACACGAAGAGGGTAGGCGACGAAGGAGAAGCATAAGTGGGGTACCTCACCGATGTGGGCAGCCCAGACAGGAAGCAACCCCGGAGTCGGGTGACAGTAGGAAAGGGTGTGGCAGCCCTGCCGAGGAGGTGCCATGGCTCCTCTCTGGGTGGGGAAACTGAGGCTCCGCGGGGTAAAGGAGCCTGCTCGGATTCTCGCAGCAGCAGAGCAGATGGGAGGGCATCCAGGAATAACCTGAGTGGGCTGCCGCTCTTTGGGCGAGTGGGAGAGAAGCAGGCACGCAGACCAAACACACCCAAGGAGGTGCCCGGCTTTCCGGGGGACCCCTGGAGGGGTGCCCTTCATGTGGGCAGTGGGGATGCCCACCAGGGTGACACCTGTCACAGACCAAATGTAGATGCAAAAAGGGGGCAGGGGTTTCTCTAATCCCCACACCCCATCCTGGAGCCTCAGGCCCAAAGGAACTGGCAACAAGCCACAGGAGGGGGCCCCGCCCACGTCACTTATTCACACAGCTTTAGCTTTTCGCCCCAGGGCTCCACAGCCCCAGAGCCGGGGTGACTCCTGGCCCTTCCTTGACTGGCTGTGTGCCCTTGAACAGCTGCTTAACCTCTCTGGGCCTCACTTTCCTTGTCTATAAAATAGAATCAATATTAATATAATAATATGTAATTATAAACAATGATATATAATATGAATATGTAATATTATTATTTTTTAATAGTTTTTTCCCCTTTATTGATTTTTTTTGAGAGAGAGAGAGGAAGTAAGAGGGAGAGAGAGATAGAAACATTGATGAGATAGAACACTGGCCACCTCCTGAATGCCCTGCACTGGGTATCGGGCCCACAACCTGGGTATGTGTCCTGACCGGGAATCGAACCGGTGACCTCTTGGTGCATGGTGGATGCTCAACCACTGAGCCACACCGGCCGGTCTATGTAATACTATTATATATCAGCTATATCACACAAGAAAACTCCCTGCCTGGATATCAGACTCGAAGGAAAGCTGGGATTGTCTAGAAGGAAGGGTGTTCCTGGTGAGCGAACCCACAGGGCGAAGGAGGGAGGGGACTGGGGGTTCAGAGAACTGAAAGAACCTGGTGGCTCAGGGTAGCACCTGAGGGCAGAGGGGAGGCGAGTGGAGGGCAAGCCAAGGCTACTAGGCAGGGCTTCGAAGGCCCTGCTAGCAGCTCCGGCCCCGTCCTGCAGGGGAGGCCCAGGAGATGGCTCGGACAGAAACCAGGAAGAAACACGAAGCGGGGATGAAGCGAGGTGGGCTCCCGCCTCTTACCTGAGCTTCCAGAGCTGGTCCGGGCTCCCTCAGACCCACTGGCCTTGTCCCTGCCCGGTGCTGGCGGCAGGTCCCCGGTGGGGGCCCTCCTGTCCGCAGCACTGGCCGAGCTCTCCAGGGAGCTGCTGCTGGAACTCGGCGCCGTGATCAGCAGGTGCTGCTGCTCGGAGCCCGGAGTAACCTGGTCCTTGTTAGCAGGCAGGTGAGGCTGGATGGGGGAGGAGGGAGAGCGGTCAGGCCACCAGCGAGCTCCTCTCCCTTCCTCCTCCGCCTCACCACCATCTGCGCCCCATGCCACGAGCAGTCGGTTTACGTGGCGCTTCTGCCCACAGCGCGCGTTCCTTCCACACGGTGCTTTCGGGGGGTGTGGTTCCCGTGCTTAGCATCTGGCTGCCCTGCTGGAGTGGGAGCTCTCTTCGGGCGGGGCCAGGTGGCCCTGTTCACCAAACAGTCTTAGAGGTGGGGCAGGGTTTTCATCCGCATTTTGTGCCAGGAAATCGAAACAGAGAAGAGTGACTCTCCTAAGGTCACCCCCTCAGCACAGGGTGACGTGGCCCAGCGAAGAACATGGACTCTGGAGCCAGACATGAGGGTGCAAATAATGGCTCCATCACTCAGTAGCTGTGTGACCTTGGACAAGTTACTTAGCCTCTCTGTGCCTCCATTTTTCCATCTATAAAGGGAGAATACCAACCCACCTCCTAGGGTTATTGTGAAGATCAAAAGGCTGAGTATGTGTTAAGTGCTCAGAACAATGCCTGTTACATGGTAAGCTCCATCCAAGGGTTTATTAGATCAGAGGCACGCAAGACCAAATCTGCTCAGCCACTGTTTGTTTTTCTTTATTGATTTTAAAGAGGGAGAGAGGGAAACATCGATGAGAGAGAACATCGACTGGCCGCCTCCTGCACGCCCCCCACTGGGGATCAGGCCCACAACCTGGGCATGTGTCCTGACCGAGAATCGAACCAGCGACCTCCTGGTGCCTGGGTGGATGCTCAACCACTGAGCCCCACCGGCCGGGCTCTGCCACTGTTTCCGAACAGGCTGTGAGCTAAGAATGGTTTTTACATTTTTAAATGGTTGAAAAAATTAAAGCCCAATATTCTGTAACGTGAAATTGTGTGAAGTTGGAATTGTGCCCATGAAGGACGGTTTCCTGGACCACAGCCACACCCGTGTGTTCGCGTGCTGTTCGCGTGCTGTCTGTGGCTGCCTCTTCCTGCAGCGGCGGCGGGTCTGAGGAGTTGGGGCGGAGACTATGACCAAACGCCCACAGTATTTCCCACCCAGCCCGTCACAGAAAACTGCCGGTCCTGTGTCCCAGAGTCACCCAGACAACCCTTTCATTTAGGACCTCGGCCACGCTGCCTCCGCAGCCCTTTCCAGACTCCATTCCGGGCTGCTCTGCGACTCCTCCCAATGTCTTTCTCATAGAACGTGAATAGTAGTAAAATACTAGCCAACAGGAGTGTCATCCTGTGCCAAGCACTGTGCTGATGTCCTTCCAAGACACTAGCTACAGTGATCCTTCCAACAGCCCAGTGTTATCCTCGCCTTGCAGACATGGAAACCGAGGCCCAGAGAGGTTGAGTGACTTGTCCAAGGTCACACAGTTAGGACGTGGTAGAGCTGGGCTATCACCGTGATGGCTTTCCGGGGTGTCTGTTGTTTCGGCTCTGGAGGCTCAAGACAGGTGCCCGTTTCCAGACACCCATGCTGGGGAGCACCTAGCAATTCCATTCCAAGGTGTGGCCTGTCCACGCTACCTGGACAGGGACACAGGCCCTTGCCTTGGGTTTCTGGGTGATCGCTGGATCCCAGAAAGAAAGGAGACGAAGAGGGCCACATCCTCACCCACTGCCCAGGATGAGAGGTGACAGGAGGCAAGTGCAGGGCGGTGAGGGTCAGAGGTGAGCGTTTGCCATGGCGGGGGGGGAGGGGCACAGGCATGGTCCACCCCTCCCCGGGGGGAAGGCCTCGGCTCTGAAGGAACTACAGTTCCAGGTGTGCTCTGAGCTGAGGCAGAGTACCCGATCCCTCCCTGGGCTGGCCCATCACCGGAGCCCGCGCCCAGCCCTGCCCCCTCAGCTGTGGCTTCGCAACACCTGAGCCCTCAGAAGCCCTCAATATCCTGAGGCCAGCTCATAGCTTCTCACTGGGGCTGGAAGGAGCCTTCGTAAGTAGCTCCCTGGGAGGTCAGGGAGGCCCAGCGAGGTGTGTCCCCTGCGCAGGGTCACACAGCTGGTCCATGGGAGGGGCAGGAGCTGCTGACTCTCCCTGTGTCCTGCCTCCACGAATCACGCCCCCTCCCCCAGCTTGAAGGACTGGACGGCTTGTCTAGATTTCTAACTCATGCTGACCTTGCCTGCTCCTAGCCCTGCTCTGAACTTGGACAGGCGAGGAGGGAGGGAGAGGAGACGCATCCAAATGTCATCCCTCACAACCCCAGAGAAGGGGCTTTTCACGCTCCTCTGCTGGTGGCCAGGCCCAGGCAGAACAGAAAGCCCCCAAAGGTCACAGCCGGCCTCCCGCTCCCAAAGCCACAAGTCGCAAAGTTCAGACAGGCTCTGAGGGGGCTGATCAGTCCGGAGTCCTGTTCCTTGGGCTGGGACCCTAGTAAGGCGGGGGTACCGAGAGGGTTCATGCAAAAAACAGGATCCCAGCCAGCCAGCCCCTTCTCACACCCAGCCCTGCCATGGGCAGACGCAGAGACCCGGGCAGAGCCGTCAGCTGAAGTCCTTCAGACACAGGGTGCGTCCATGAGGCTCACACACCTGTTATATACAGATGTGAGGGTACATGAAGTGTACACACACATGTGCATGGGGGGCCATGTGTGCATGTCTGTGAGGTTCGGCTAATGTGCATGCTGGGGGTGGTGAAGACAGGCACTCCTAGCTTTGTGTCTCATGCTACTCATGAGCTGTGTGACCTTGGGGAAGTTGCTTAACTTCGCTGAACCCGTTTCCTGGGCCATAAAGCTGGAGCAATAATCTCCCTCCCGTGTCTCAGCATGGCTCTGAGAATCAGTAATGCTCAGAACTGTGCCCAGCACACGGTGCACGCCACACAAATGCTCCCTCTCGTTATTCAGCGGGGGCCTGTGCACGGGTGTGTCTGAGGGGGCGACTGTGGCCCAGCTCACACATGTGGATACGCTGACCTTTCCTAAAAAGGAAGCCGCTGTCCCACACACTGTGGGGTGACTTTTGTAGCACAAGGGACAGAGCAGAGCCGAGGCACCACACCCTCCCCACAGCAGCCTGCATCCTGAGAGCAGGGACCGCTGCCAGCCAGCCGAGGAACAGAGAGGGCACAGGTGGAACGAGGGGTGAGAGGGGTGGGGGCCTGGGGCCTGAAGGGCATCTGGGAAGGTGACCAACCTCTGAGGGCAAGCCCTGCTGAGGGCAGCCTCGAATGTGTGACCTGCCCAGACACGCTGATTCGGACTATCTCAAGCCTGGGCTCTGTCACTTACCTAGTGGTCTGACCTTAGCCGGGTAACAGAACCTTCCTGAATCTCAGTTTCCTCATCTGTAAAATGGGAAGTCGTACTGTGTACCTCACTGGGTCCGTGGCCGCAGCACAGGCACGGAGCCCAGCACGGGGCTCAGCAGTCACATGTGGGACCAGCTCAGACCTGTGGGTCATCCTTCCCAGGTCCATGCTGGGCACTGGAAACTGGCCACGGTGGGAGTGTTTATAACACGGAAATGAGCAAACACCACAAATCAGGAGCTGGTTTTCTGCCCTGCCCAAAGGGCTGGTCACCAGCACGCCACACCGGGCACAACAGCACTCAAAGTAGCAGTTGTGTTACGCTCAGTGAGTACAAAACTCGGTGAAGGGAAAGGGACAGCGGAGGCTGCTGGGTCACGTGGGACCTCGAGTGCCCTGGGCATTGGGAAACACTTGGCGGGGCAGAGCGCGACAGCTGGGCTGCGGGTGGGGCCTGGAGGGCACACGTTCTCTGCGTGCCACCCGCAGCAGCTGTCCCCATCGCTGCCCGGAAGGAAGCCAGAAAAAGGAAGGAGCAGCATTCGCGCTCCCGGGCCAGCGCTGGCGTTTGCTGAAATACTGCAGAGCAGGTCAGCGGGCGCTGAGCCAGCAGTCCAGGGCCACGGCGCTGTGTGACCTTGGGCAAGTCACTTTCCCTAGCTGCCCCTCTGCTTTTCAGCAAGATCGGGACATGAAATCGGTCCCTGGTCCCTACCAAGTCCAAAGCCCCATGTAAACCGCAGGCATTGGGCTGCCCAGCACTGAGCTGTTCCCTAACACAGTGGTTCTCAGCTGGGGGTGGTTCTATCCTCCAGGGGGCACTTGGCAATGTCTGGAGACAGTGCTGCTGGCATCTAGTGGGGAGAGGCCAGTGCTACTGAACAGCCTACAATGCACAGGACAGCTCCCAAAGACAGGACTGTCAGGCCCCAAGTATCAATGGTGCCGAGGCTGAGGAACCCCACCCAGCAGGATGGGGGACATGGATGGAGCTCCTGTTTCCTCATGTGTAAAAGTGGATAAAAACCCTGCCCTGCGTACCACATGCGAGTGCAGCAGCCACCGTGTACTGGCTCACCCCACAGCCATGTCCAAGCCCTCTCCCTTGACTTCCTCTACCACAGAGGCTGGGAAAGCAAAGTGCCCGGCTGCTCGGACTCCTTTGCAGCTAGGGGTGGTCGCATGACACCATCCAGGCCAATGAGACAAAGGGAGAAGTCTATCTAGGGCTTCTAGGCAAGCGTCTCGTTTCCTGATAAAAGGTGCCGTGGCTGGCCTGGCCATCACACCCTCTTCTTCTCAAACCTGAGGTCACAGGAAGTGGTGATCACCATCTTGTGACATGCGGCCACCAGCAAGAGAACAAGAGCCAACACACTGTGGATGGCAGAGCCCAAGTCCTACTGGCCTCTCCGAAAGGTGCAACTGAGCTATTCCAGCAGCCATGAACCCCTCACCCTCTTGGTATGTGAGAAAGATTAAGCCCTTCCGTTTTAAGTAACCCTTAACTTTTCAGTTACTAGTGGCCAAATGCCTTCCTGAGGGAGAGCTAATAGAATACTGTCAGTGTTGTGTTTCTAGTAAAAGTCCTTCACACACCCTACTTCGTGAAACGGATCTAAGGTGACCTGCTTTGGTCGAGGTGGGGGGACCCAGGGCCCAGCTCCCTAGCCACCACCTCAACCCCAGAGATGGCCCCCCAGGGCCCTCCGTGGAACACCGGGGTACCCCAGCACTCAGTTTGAAAACCACCGCTCTTTGAGGAAGTGCTTTGTTTTGTGAGCACCACAGAGATGCTGAGAATCGTTGCCGGCTGAGTGAATGGCACAGCCCCTGAGCAGCACTGTCCCCATTTAATGCTGAGGAAACAGGGCCACAAGCCAGTTCACGGGTGCCCAAGGTCACACCACAGGTCCATGACCACATGCTGGCCGCAGAACCACTAACCCCCTGTTCCTTGACGTGGCATCTCAGCCTCCTTCGCTAACCCAAGAAGGGCTGCCCAGAGCCCAAGGACAGCCCTGGCTGGCCTTTCCACCCTCCCAGGACTCTGCACACCACCTGACCCACCCAGAATTCACTGCTTCGGGCAATCCGACCCACGGGGTGGGGGGGCACTCACCACCTTGGCTTCTCCTTGCAGGCAGAAGGGCTTCTCTGCAAAGAGGGGAGAGGGGACAAGTCAGGAACAGTGAATCCCTCAGACCACAGCCGCTCTGACTAGGGGGCAACGTGGGGCGCAGGCAAAGCAGCGGGAGACCCAGCCGTGGGGGAAACAATTCTCCACCGGACAAGGCACACACAGACCCTACACCCGCTCTCCAGCTGCTCGACAGTGTTCTGCTCCCCTCTACTACCCCAACCATTCCCCAAACTCCCCACCCTGGCTCCAGCCAGGCCCCTGCTCAGCACGCCCCTCCTTCCTGCACAAGCCCTCCCTGGAAATCTTCCCCAGCTTGTAGCCCCCTGCTCCAGAGGCCTGACTCTCCCAGTATTCCCAGACAGGAATATGGGACTCCTCCCCGGACAGCCCTCAGGCAGCCCTGCCTTCCAGCAGATTCGGTAGCAGAAGGGCCCTCCCCCTGGGCTCTCAGCCCCTCCATCTGACCCACAGGGCTGTGCCAGGCCTGGGCTCATAGGAGGCACCCCAGCAGGCTCCCTGAACAAGTGGATGAGTGAACAGATAGATCCAGGACAAAGGAAAGGAATCTTACTTTTCCTCTGGGTCATGATGACACAGTTGAACGTCCCTAGGATGAGCAGTCCCAAGGCCGTGACACCCACAATCAGTCCTGGAAGGAAAAGACAAGCTCAAACAGCTACAACAAGCAAACTGAAATATACCAGGGGCCCGGCAGGCCGGTCAGTGACCAAAGAGGGCTGGGGCTGTCACAGGTGAGGGGCAAGCCCAGGCCAGAAGTTTCCAGTTCAGTTACAAACTACACAACCCAAAAACTGAGTGCCGAGCAAGCGCAAGGGCCGCCAGGTCGAGACTCCAGCCTGATGTAGCTGTAACCCCAGAAGGACGGCCCGTGAGGGGACGTGGCCCAGCCCACTGTCTTCGTAGCCTAACGGGTTCAACAACCAGGAGACCCTCTTCCACTTTGAGATAAAATGCCTAGTACACCTCTCCCGACCAGGGGGTTCTCAGTGACGGTACCAGGTCTTGGGAGAAGACGAGTCTCACTGTCATCTGCATCCCCAGAAAGAGCACATCCAGCCCCCAGAGGGCCCTCAGTAAGTCTCTGAGGTAGCAGGAGGAAGGAGGAAGGGGCCCTCTTGTGACTCACCAATTGGAAGAGAGATGTTCCCTGTGCTGAGCCCTTCAGCCGGGGCACTTGGGACCATTGGGAGCAGGACAGAGGTGCTTGGAGTTGTGCTGGGTCCTGTAGTTGACTCCACGTTTTTGGATGTCGTGGTCGCTGACTGGGACTTGAGGACTAAGCTTGGGGTCACTCTCAGGGTGGGGAGCTCGGATGCGCAGACCGCGTCCCTGCTTGCGTTGCCAGGGATGGCCGTGGACTTACAGCTGGGGGGGGAGAAGGCTTGGTCAGGGGGCAACAAAGGGCAGAATGGCTCAGAGTGGCTGGGCTCACTCATGGGAGGCAGGTCAGCAAGCAAGGGTCCCAGCAAATAGGGTGGGGGAGTGAGTACGTGTCCTGCCATCTGTCCTGGGCCCCGCTCACCATTCGATTAACCCATCCTGGCATTGAAGAGGGCTCAGCGATGCCTCAGCCCAACGGCGTGAGTGGGGGACTGCAGAGCCATGGCACAGCCGCTCTGTGCTCCAGACCCCTTCATCACCCGGGGACAGCCCCCTGCTCCTCCAGAACCAAAGGACGCAGCCACTCACATGCGATGGGGCCTGCAAATGTCTGTGGATGACGTCGTGTCAGAGAACGTCCCTGGGGCACAGGCAGCACACACCACATTAGATTTTGCAGTTCCTTCAAGGAAAAATTGGAACCTGTCACCAACTCAGATGCTCTGTGGAACAGGCAGACCTTGGCACTGAAGCCCTAGGGGAAGTCTGAGGGGCCCATGGACCTCTGTCTGCACCTCTACCTCTGAAAGTACACACAGACACACACACACACACACACACACACACACACACAGCTGGGAGTTTGTCCTTTAACCTATCTAATGACTTCCTGGTCTCCAGGGTCACATGAGTTCATCTTCCTGTGGCACCACCTGATTTTCCAGTAGCTGGAGGCTTAATTTAATCCATCTCTGGATCCCCAGGGCCTAGCACACAGTAGGTACCTAACCGGAGAGCTGGAGGAAAGACTACACGGGGGACTGGTGGACACATGAGTCACAGGAACCCGGCCACCATGACGATGTCCCCAGACTGAGCTGATGAGTTGATGCCCGTGAAGGAAAGACCCAAGGGGGACCCCAGGCTGCCCTGGCCCCCTACCTGGTCTGACCACACCGAATCCGGGGGGGCATCTGCGCAGCGGGCTGCACAGCCGGCACCCCTGATCACTCCCCAGGACGCAGTACCAGCCTGGCCTGCAGCTGCAGACGCGGTTCCGTTCCCGAGTGCAGGCTTGAGTTTCTACCTGGTCTGGAGGGGTGAGAAGGCAGCCCAGGGTCATTCCTGCCTCCACTGGCCCTGCCCATCGCCCTCCCAGCCAGCCCACCACCCACAGAGCTCTGATCTCCCGCAGGCTGGTAGCCCACCCCCCACCCCCAGCACGGGGCAAAAAGAACCCTGGCCACGGAGTTCCAAGGCCTGCAGTCTGGCTCCGCTCCACAGCAGGGGCAAGACACAACACCCTCGGCTCGAAATAGGCCCAGTTCTCCCACTGCTGCTCTTGCCCTGCCCGCCCCCGGGGCTGTTGAAGGGAAATGTCACTGATACATAGGAAGGAGCTGTGCCCGTGCAACGTCATGCCCTGGGGCATGGAAGCAATGGGCCTGACACATCCAGCTTTCAGTCAAAGGGGCTGGGGTGCACGGTGCCCGGGGTGGCTGTGGGGGACCACCCTCTCTCGGGACCTACTCACCAGAGCTGCAGCGGGAGCCACAGCTCAAGCACTTGGACACGCGGTTCCAGAGCTGGGTATACGTGCTGTCCTCGCAGGGGGCACACTCTGTGTTTGAGGTCTTAGTGCAGAAGGCCTGTGCACGATAGCCTGAGAAAGCAAGGGCCAGAGGTCTCAATGGAGCTGGGCTCCTGCCTGGACCCTGAGCTCATCCGCTGTTCCCAGAACCCAAGTTCTATGGTGGATCCGCAAAGGCTCTCGATAGGGTTCCAGCTCCTCTGTTGACTCAGCTCACATCTAGCAAGTACCAGCTGTCACTCCTCCTCTGAACCCCCACTGTACATCAAATATCTTCCCCTCTGCTCTTTCCAGAGGCCTGGAGTTCCACCACTGGAAGTGCCCGTTGTTAGTCAATCACACTTTAGTGAGAACTGGTTTGCCAGCTCCTTTCTTCTTTACATTTGGCTAAAACTCTCCATCTGGGAGTGTAAGTTAGAGGGGGAAAAGGAGGTAGGAATGTGGGATAGTTTGCTATCAAGGCTTGGAGAGAAGGCATACCCAGGGATGGGAGAACACCAAAGCAAACCTTCTAAGGAGTTTCTCTTTCTGAGCCCTGAGCCCATATTCACTGCTGTACTAATCTAGTAACTTCTTACAAAGAACCTGCCAGTTAATGGAAGAAGAAGAGTCATTTCCCCTGGAGTGGGAGGTGTTAGGTACATCTGGGCCATCCCACATCTCAGGCTAATGGCTCAAAGCACTCTCATGGCTTCCTGGATCCTGCAGAATAAAATTTAAACTCCTTACCACTGCCCCTGCTTACTGACTCTGGGCCACACACTGGTCTTGCTATTCCTCAGCTTCACCAAACAGGCTCCCGCCTCAGGGCCTTTGCACTTGCTGTGGCTCCTGCTTGGCATGCTGTTCCCTGTATACTTGCATGACTCCCTCCCTCACCTCCTGCATGACTCGGCCCAAGAGTCAGCTCCTCAAAGAGGCCTTCCCTGACCACTCTGTTAAAAATAGCATGTCCTATTCCATCTGTCTCCATCTGCCTTGCCCGGCCTTGTTTTCTTCAAAGCACTTACTCACTGATAGGCTCACACACCTGCTTCCTCTGTTGATTTGTCTGTTCCTCTCTTAGAATGCAAAAATCCATGAAGGCAAGGATTTTGTCTGCTCTGCTCTCTGTTGGATTCCCAGCACTTAGAACTGTGCCTGACACCTAGTAGATGCTTGATCAATACGACAGGCATGAATGTATAAACACGTGAGTGGGTGGAGCATTCACCGATCCAGTCAAATGTGTACAGAGCACCCAGTGTGTGCCAGGCGCGTGGGATTCAGTGCAGAGCAAGTCCAGTCACTGCCCTGGAGGAGCACACAGTCAGGGACGACCAAAGAGGAGCCATGAGAACACAGGAGGGAAAGAGCTGATGCCATGAGGGACGCCAGAGACCCCTGGGAGCTGAAAGGCGGAACCAGATCTGGCCAGGCAGTATAGGCAGGCTTCCTGGAGGAGGGGGACATCTAAGCTGAGAGCTAATGGACAAGTCGGAGTTTTCCAGGGAAAGGGAATTGGGAAGAGCGGACAGCATGGGCAAAGGCCCAGAAACAAGAGGGATCGTGGGGCCGACTCATGGAACTAGAAGGAGTTCAGTAAGAATTGGGCCGTGACCCTGCCCCCTGCCGCCGCCACACACACACACTCCCTCCAAGGCCCCAGCTCCCAGGGACGGAGCCAGTCTGAGGGTCAAGGATGCAGGGACTGCCCCTCACCGGGAGGACACATTCGGCAGCACATCTGGACCTTCTTCTCATAGTAGTCATTCTGCTGGCAGAAGCTTTCGGACTCCGGGACGTAGGGAGCGGATACAACCTAGAAGGGGAAGCAGGACAGTTGTCAGCTTGGCCTCACCTGACACCCGGATGCCCACCCTGTGTCCAGCACGTGTTTGGCCCCCTCCCTGCTGGGACTCGCCTGCTGGATGGATGAAGGACATGGGGCTTCTCCCTGTGGGTGGGGGTGCGGTGGAGGGAGAAGGGAGAGTCCCTGCCTTCGCTTACTCAGTGCAGCACATCACGCCTGCAGGCGGAGACTCTGAGCCAGCTGGCTGGAGGCTGAGGCTGGCTCCTAACAGGACAAGTGGCAGATGTAGGGCCCTTAAAGCTGCCGCAAAGGCAGTGGCCTCAGTCACAGGGACCCACAGTGCTCGGCACAATGGGGCCCTCTGCCTAGGATACCTCCCTGTCCCTCCTTCCTGCACCTGGAAATCACCTCTTCATCCTTCCAACCAACTACTACCTCTTCCAGGAAGCCCTACCTGACTCCCCCAGGCTGATCCAGGTTCCTCCTCCTCTGCGCTCTCTGAATGCTGGATATAGCTCCCCTTCAAACAACCATCTCATTGTCCTCCCATTTGCATGGGTGTGTGTGCACACGCGTGCACGTACACACACCCCACATGTCTGCAATACACAGTGCAGGAATGACGGCCTCACCATCGCTAGACCCTCAGCTGCCAACACGGCCCATGGCAGAGCTAGTGCTCAGTAGGAGTATTTGTTGACGACAGGGACAACAGTTTCTGACAGGGTGTTGTTCTAAGTGCTCCAGGTGTTCTAGTCAGATCCCCTGTACCAGCAGGGCACCCCCACCCCGCTGCCCCCGGCTGCCATGAGAGTTGCCATGATGACCCCCCTCCAGGTGAGATGATGCTGTGGCGGAGTTCATGCTCCAACCCCGCCCCCATCTCCCACCTTGAAGTCTTGACTGCTGCAGGCCAGGCCCTTGGCTGGCATCTGCACTGGGAAGGAGTAAACAGGAAACCCAGCTCCTTTCCTGCTCTGCCCGGCAGGTAGTCCCAGACCCATCCTGGCACCTTGCCAACACCCCAGGCTGGGGTGTCCAGCTGCCCCACAATCGGCGGCTCCTCTCCCACCACGTTCCTGTTCCTGCCCAGGACAGCCTGCTGCATCCCCTGACCCAGTTCCACTTTTCCTCTGACAGCAGCCTCCCGAGGCTCCCTGGCCCACACCCGCCCTGAAAATCGCTGGTACCCTCGTCCTTCCCCCACCGGGGCTCCTGGCCACAGGGCGGTGCCCCCACTAAATGGGCCCTTCTGAGGGCACAGGCTGGGGGAGGCACGGCTGTTGTCTGGGGTCTGGCATGTCGTAGGTGCTCAGGGCTCACTAATCCAAGCGGCGGACTTCATTACAATGTCATTTCCTGCAGGGGCTGACCCTGTACCAGGACTTTGAAGCCCAAACAAGGGAGCACCCGCCATGCTGGCTGCCCCCAAAGCCCTCTCCCCAGCCCAGCCCAGCCCCCCAGGCCCAGGCCCTAACCCCAGGACGTCAGCTCTGTGAGGGTGGGAGACGCAGGTGGCTGGCATGGAAAGTGGGAACCATTCTGCACAACACAGGGTCTACAAGGATTACTCCACTCCTGTGTGGACAGTAAGCTCGCATGCCCATGGCTGCACACGCATGCACACATGCGCATGCACTCACACGCGTGCATGCACACATGCACATGCATGTTCACACACATGCATGCACATATACATGTACACGCATGCATGCACACACACTCCATCCCAATCTTTCCCTCCTGCTGGGCCTGGAGAGGGCTGCCAGACACCTAAAGAAAAAGGAAAGCGAGCCCTGGCCGGTTTGGCTCAGCGGTTGGAGCGTCGGCCTGCGGTCCAGAGAGACCCGGGTTCGGTTCCCGCTAAGGGCACGTACCTCGGTTGCAGTTTGTCCCCGGCCTGGTTGGTCGTGTGGGTGGCAGCCACTCGATGTGTCCCTTTCACGTCGATGTTTCTCTCTCTCTTCCTCTCTCCCCCTCCCACTCTACCTGAACAAAAAAATCTAAAAAAAAAATGTCCTCAGTTGAGGATAAAAATAAAAAAAAATAAAAAAAAGAAAAAGGAAAGCGAGACCTGAAATCGGGGCTCCTTACAGTTGGGGCGGGGCTCACTGCCAGTGTCCAAAGCCCCTGGGGGACCTGTTACTAATGCCCACTCCCACCCAACAAACAGGGTCCAAGACGCTCAAGGTGGGTCCAGGAAGCTGTCCTGTTAAGAAAAAAAACAACAAACTCCCCAGGTGATTCTGATGCTCCACTGATGAGCGCACCTGGTTAGCGGGCACCCACGGACGGGGCAAGGCGACCTGGGACAGGGGGCACAGGGAGCAGCCCTGGTGATCACCGCGGGGGAGCCCCGCAACCCGAGGAATCATACCTCTGCAGCTCCCTTCACACGCACTACAGCGGAAGGCCTGACCGTCCCCCCATGGCCCCCTAAAATGGGCCTTCGCTCTCAGAGACCATGCCCGAGGGCAGGGAGGGGCTGTGCAGGGTGGTGGCAAGGGTCTCATGGACCCCGCATCCCCACAAGCACCTGGACAGTAGTTAGGGGAGCCTCTCACTCGTGTGGGGCCTGAGAACACAGGGTGGCTCCCGGCTGCAGCCCAGGGGGATCTGGCAGGATGGAGGAGGATTTCCTGTCAGGCCCCAGACAGCCTGATGGGAAAGGGCCCTGCCTTGGCCAAGTCTGGGCTCTCTCCCCACACAGGCCAAAAGTTCCTCTGCGAAGGCAGGCGCTAGACCCTCCGGCCCCCAGGCCACTGCCCTGTGGCCTCCCCCCGGGGTCTTTTCCTGCCTGAAGCTTGCTGGGAATGCCCTTGCCCGCCCTTTCTCCTGCTGCCTGTGTGCTGGGACAAGCTCTCCCTGGAGCAATTTCTAGGCCTGTTAATCCTCTTGGACAGAAAAAAAAAAAGAAAAGAAAAAACACAGCCCTGTCATGGCTAAACAATGAGGAACAGAAAGCCCCTGGCTGAGCAGGACAAAAGGTCACTCCCTGCGCTGCAGGGCTCCCGGAGCAGAGGCCACCACAGCCTTGGGAGCCACGCCTCCACCACCACTGGGCCACGCGGCCAGGGGTCCCTGGAGGTCCCCAGAAGCTGGTGAGCAGCCTCTGGGAACCACAGGGCTATGGAAGCTTCCAGTTCCTTTGGCTGGTGCCGGGGAGGCTGAGAGGCGCGTGCACCACCCATCCCCGGGAGAGTGCTGACTGACGTTCTAAAATGAGGAACTAACGAGAGAGTAGTTGATTCGCTCAGCATGTTCAACAGACCCAAGCTTTTAAAATACAGGGTCCCCGGGAGGAAACTAGGACATCACTGATGAGCATAACCACCCAGTGACGGGTGACAGTGTGACCAGTGTGGGTGGAGGATTGGAGAAGACAAAGGATAGATGATTGATGATAGAGAGACGATAGATAGATAGATAGATAGATAGATAGATAGATAGATAGATAGATAGATAGATAGATAGATAATAAAAGGAAGGAAGGAAGGAAGGAAGGAAGGAAGGAAGGAAGGAAGGAAGGAAGGAACTAACATCCAATTTGTGAGGCAGGTCTGATTATGCCCATTTCACAGATGAGAAAATGGGGAGAAAAAGCAGCAAAACCACCTCCTGGTCTCCCAAAGGCTCTGGGCCACTCCAGGCTGGCGGCAAGCGGATGGAGGACTGCACACAGGAGGCCACCAGGGCCCACCCCTCATGCCCCACAGCCTCGAGCTGCCTCACATCCGGGTCTGCAGCCCCATTTCCCCTCCTCAACACTGGCCTGGTCCTCCTGGGACAGGAAGGCCTTTAAGGAGGAAGGAAAACAACGGGTTATTCATTAAACAACTCCTACGTGCCAGGCAAGATGGCAGGCACTCTACAGAATCCCGCTTCTGCCCCCAAAGTAGGTGGGCGTGTGCTCATTTCACAGCGCAGGGATGTCAGATCACTTGTCTGAGTTCATCCAGGAAGGAGGCGGCGGGCCGGGATGTGACACGCCTTGTCCCACTGGAGAAATCTTTGGTCTCCTCCTCAGGACAGCTGAAGGCGCCAGCTCCAGGGATCCTCCCTCTGCCTTCCACCCTGAGTCACTGCAATGCCACCAGCCCCGTCACCTACTTCTGTGTCAAGCCGGGACTGGGCGCTGGTTCACATGGACACACACACACACTCTCTCACCCAGGCTCACACACACACACACACACACACAATGCAGGGAACCCCTCTCAGTCTTCAGCCAACAGCCTCTGACCTCCCCTGACCTAGATCCCCAGGAGACCGCCCGGGAACCACAGAATGAGCAGGAAGGGACAGCTCTTCCCAGACTCGGTTCCCAGCACTGCCGGTGTCACCAGGCTCCTGAGAGTCCTGGCAGCTCCTCGGCAGGGGCAGGGGCAGGGGCAGGGGCAGGGGCAGCACAGGCTCCAAGGTAGGAGTCTGTGAGCAGGAGTCTGATCAGCAGCCGAGCCACGTGCTAGAAAGAGGCATGGGAGCCGCAAAGGGGAGGCGGAGGCCCAGAAGTGGGGATGGATTGAGGCGCCGGGGCTCAGGGCTGGCAGGAATCAGACATCCCAGATGACCTTCCATTTCATGGTGGAGAAAGTCAGGGGCAAAAGTGGAAATGTCCTTCCTCCCTTCTTCCCTTCCTCCCTTCCTCGAGCACCTGCTATTCCAGGCACAAAAGTGGAAATCTTCCTTCCTTCCTTCCTTCCTTCCTTCCTTCCTTCCTTCCTTCCTTCCTTCCTTCCTTCCTTCCTCCCTCCCTCCCTCCCTCCCTCCCTCCCTCCCTCCCTCCCTTCCCTGAGCACCTGCTATTCCAGGTGCTGGGCAGACGGCATGGAACACATCCACGTCCCCGCCCTGGGAAGCTGAGCTCCAGGGGGGAGACACAGACACTGTGGCAGGAAAGTGTGAGGCGGCAGTAGGAGCCCAGGAAAAAGGACAGACAAGGCAGGGCCAGGAGGGGCAGGGAGGGTGTGTCTGTGCTCCGAGCACAGCCGGGAGGCCAGGGCCGCGGG